GTGACATTGAAGACTGGAATAATGATGCTGAAAATTCAGCTTTGCAACACAGGAATACATTTCATTTTGAAATATATGAAATAAAAAACAGTTATTTAAATGTATAATAATATTTCACAATATTACTGTTTTTACTGTTTTTTTTTATCAAATAAATTCAGCCTTGATGAGCATAAGAGACTTCTCAAAAATATTACCAACCCCAAACATTTAAATTAATAAGATAATTTCACAGTAATGGAATCAGATTTAATTATCAAAATAGAACATGCACTTTGACCTTAATAAAATAATAACAATCGAAACTGATTACATTTATTGTTTATTAAAACAATTCGTCAAGATGTAGTTGAAAGGTCAACATGATGTAAATTCTCAGGAGGGATTTCAAGTAAATAATGTTGCATAATCCAGCTGCTGATGTAGGTCAACATTAAACACTTCCATTGCATATGACATATTGAAAACATTTCCAAGTTCTCTCAGGTTGTTGCGGGGACATTTGCTTATAGAAAGGCATATGGTATATGAGATGTTTGAACCTGATCATAAGAGCATGGTAACTAAAACAAACGGCCCTGTCAAAAAGCCCCGTCCACGCAGGGGACATATAATAATACAATAAGAGCCTTTCCAGGAGCCTGTTGTTGCCCGCTGGGGACACGTTGCCATTGGAGGCAATTGATGCTTTTTTGGAAAATCAAAAGAACAGGATATGCATGTCTAGATTCCATTGTTATTATGAAACAAGTGAGATCAACAACATCACCTGCAGTTCCGTTCGTCTCTCCCACACAGTGCAGTTAACACGCACTGCTCTCTGACATTTAAAGGGGTCATATGATGTTGCTAAAAAGAACATTATTTTGTGTATTTGGTGTAATGAAATGTGTTTATGCGGTTTAAGGTTCAAAATACACATTATTTTCCACATACTGTACATTATTGTTTCTCCTCTATGTCCCGCCTTTCTGAAACGCGTCGATTTTTACAAAGCTCATCGGTCTGAAAAAGCGAGGTGTGCTGTGATTGGCCAGCTATCCAGTGCGTTGTGATTGGCTGAATTCCTCAAGCGTGTGACGACCCCGGGCTGGAATCCTGAAAGCGGATATCGTCCTCTTTTGGAAGGCCAAACAAAGTAGTTTCGCTTTCACTACGAAACACACAATGACATGGCGGCAGCAGCAATACTACAGTGAGAGTTATTGATGCAAGCTAGTATTAGAGTCACAATTAACTGAATCATCTACGTTTATATTCTGGAACATTGTGACACTGATTGACCTGCAGTCGCTCAAACGCAAGAGGTTCTTGTCTCGTCAACCTTTGGCTCAGCCATGCATCGTCACAGGTTCATTATAAAGGAAAACTTGAAATCGCATCATATGACCCCTTTAACACTAAATGTGAGAATGTTGGTTCAGTCCTAAACATAAAGCAGCCAATCACTACAACAAGCTCCATTGACAGGAGCTCCCACTCTAGTCTGAGTAATCGCTTTACACTTTTAACTGAGACATAGTGGTGCTTACAAATGCAATTAGGGACTGCTCACACTTGACGTGAGCACATTGGTCAAACATGCCCATCTAGTGTGTGTTTCTGCTTACACACAAAAATTATGGAAAAGTAGTGGAATGGAAAAAAAATGGTTGTGTGTGAACCAGCCCTAAGAATTAAATAAATAATTTTTGGAAAACTAAGCTGACGTGTATAATTTTCGCACAATTTGCATCACTAAAGAGAATTGTAAAAAATCTAATAGGTAAAAGAGTTAAACAAAAAATTACATACTTCACTTCAAATTTCAATTTTCATCATAGCTCTCAAATCTGATACCTTGTTGCGTTCAATTAAAAAATGGTGCCACTGAAAAGTTGCAGACTTGAATCCGAACAGCATTGGCATGTCATGTGACACTAAAGAGTTTGAACTACTCAGAAAGCCGTAGCAACTTCATAGCAACCACACACAACATCTCAGCATAGAGTGCAAAAGTCGGGGTTTGGAAGTAAATACTCCATTCATTTTCTCCATAGGGAAATTATTTTTTTACTATAACTTCCAAACCTTTAAAGACAGGCCTGTTTTGAGCTCCGATGTTGTTAATGGTATATTTTTGAAGCCATCTGTTTGCATTATTTTAATGCATTGACAATGGAATTTGTGATGAAAAACTACAATACCCCTGATTCTGTACAGAAGATTGCACCAATCACAGAGTCAGAGAGTATATATTAAAATATATTAAAAATATATTGTTTCTGTAGATATAATCAACAACTTTAAATAATGAACTGATAAAAATGTAGGTTTTCAGTTTTTTTATTTCACCGTTGTTTTTCATTTGATTGTCATTCGCCATGCTTTATGGAATTGTAGTTCTTTCCCTCAATAAAGCTGTTAAGTACAAAGCCCATTGCCTTCTTGTCTGATTTTCACATACTTTTTTATGATTCACCTTGTAGCTGGTTATAATGACTTATAAAGCTTTAACAAAGACTTTTTTAAAAATGCTATGGAAATAATACTTCTGGACCCAACACCACTGAAAAGTGGAAAGGCAAGTTTTATATACTGTATACTGTTTGGCTTTCAATGGAAGACAGTTATCTGATGTAGGCAGTACATTTCTCTGATTCTCTGATCAAGAACTATTTGGCACACCTATTTTATTATTTCCAGTAAGTAAAGTATCCACATATAGTGTTAATAGCGGTATTAAAACATAAAGCAATTTCCAAACAAGCTATTATTGTCACATTCTAAATAAAAGAAGACATATTCAGGGTCAGCAACGTTCAAGAATGCATTTCATTATGCTTTTACAAATGTCACAAGACACAAGTGATCATGACCGCCTGCTAAAAATAGCCTACAGGCTGAAACAACCTCAGGGAACATGGTTATGTAACGTGTCAAATGAAAACTGCACATTTTTCTATGGGTCAATGGGAGAAATGTCCTTTGCCTTTTATTGATGCAAGCTAGTATTAGAGTCACAATTAACTGAATCATCTACGTTTATATTCAGGAACATTGTGACACTGATTGACCTGCAGTCGCTCAAACGCAAGAGGTTCTTGTCTCGTCAGCCTTTGGCTCAGCCATGCATCGTCACAGGTTCATTATGTAATTCTTTAAGTGAGAGTTACACACAGGTGTAGAAGGAAAGTTGACAGCGATGCAGTGGATGTGTTTTTGCAGACGCTCATTTGCATCTGCTGATTTCCCATTCAAAAGCACTGGCTCGATAACCTTCAGCATGAAAGACTAGGGAACATAAAATCCTACGCAAAACATTGTCTTTCGGCTCTTTCTGTATTAAATAATATAAGCTTCACTGGCGAATCAAGTAACACAGCTTGCTTTGCTGCAAAATGATCCACTAATGCCAACTTAGCATAAAAGCTGTATCTGAAGTGGCATATTATTTACTAGAATAAAGTGCATTTACACTATTTAATGTTGCACAGAGGCAGTATAAATACATTTACATAAAAATGTCAGTGCAGAAATAAAGTTATTAATTAATTTGAATAATTCATTTTAATTGTAGTTAATTTGTAATTCAAAAATAATACAAATAAATGAAAATGAAAATATTTTAGATAATTTTAAATATGAAATTATGAACATAAAAAAAGAAATGAAAATGTACAATTAAATACATAATTAAAAAAGTATTTATCTAATTACATTTAAAACAATAATACATTTTAAAGCTGCACTGATGCTGCATTTCTTTTACACAGAACCAAAGCGGCATCAGAGCTGCCACTTATACTAGGGGAGCTGAAGTGGGTCAGAGCTGCATATTTTAGTATGATTTTTATTCAGCTATGCATATTTATACAGAATTTTGTGCCTTAAATAACAAATAAGAATCAATGTGTTCTATTTAATATTTTTTGTTCCAAAAGTAGTTCTATTAGTGAAAAGGTCACCATCAAATCCCCCGGTATAGGTATAATAATGATTATGGTGGCAAAATCCAGCCAGAGAGATGGTATTTTACACATCAAGTGTAAAAGAGTATGTCACGTCCCATCCCAACTCTTCTGTGCTGATCTAAGAGCAGCTTAGTTAACGTAAACTCTGATCTTTTTTCTTATGCTGATATAAGAGGTCAGCATGGTATGGGTCAGCTGCTGTCTATTGGCTGTCTGCAGTTTGAATTCTAGGGAGGAATGTAGCATGCCACTGTGGGAGCAATAAAAAAATGTGCATGGGAGTGAGACCGCTGGTCACGACTGCTGTTCATCATTCAGCTGCAGCTTTGAAAGGCTCCAGAAAAATTAAAAATGAAATGTTAAAAAATGAAATGAAATGATGTGGCTTATTGATCTGATTCTGACAGAGGACCGGGATACAGATGAAACTTGTCTGTAAACAGAACATGAAGTACTTTTCACATTAATAATCACCTCATCAGGTTGCATGTGAATGGCAAGCAGTAATCAACTCTTTATTTTTAGTTCAGTTTTCTGCAAATAAATCTATAGTCATTCAGAGACATTACAGATACATCTGCTAAAATATAATCAAATATTACCAAACAAACTTTTACATCTTAATGCATACAGAAAATGTGGACAGTATACAATACATACTATATACTGCAGAAATAGTAGACACTAGACTGTTATGCTAATACTATATTCTGAACGCCACGAGATTCCGAGTTGGGGGTGTATAAAGTGAGAAATTACGCAATAGACGCAACAGATGCAACATCTGCATTGATGGTAAATTTGTTGAAATTAATGTTTTTTTTTTCTAAGTCACATACAATCGCATTGTATAATTACAATTTTTCATAAATTGAATAAAAACATAAAAAAGCAAAAACAAAGAGTTAAAAAAATGCTCCAACTAAAAGTAATGTCAAAATTATGACTTCCAACTAAATAATATAAGAACTTCCCAGGAGAACACAAACATCATTATTATTAACACCATAAGACCATTCCAAACTCCTCTTTCTACACAATAATTTCCTGCTTCTTCTGTATTTTCTTTATAATAAATATAAACTTTTTTGAAATACACTCTTATAAATAAAATACTATTTGTTTTAGTGGTTGGAAAAAAAGAAACAAACAAAAAAGAAACCTATTTCTAGGGTGTTTTGAATGGTTGCTATGCATGTTCTGAGAGGTGTTTAGTGTTGCTATGTGGTTGCTAGGGTATTCTAAGTAATTGCTAGGGCATTAATAAATCATTGCTAAGGTACCCTTGGTGGGAGTGACATATGGTTTCATATATATATATATATATATATATATATATATATATATATATTAGGGGTGGGGGAAAAAATCGATACAGCTTATTAAGATACTCTTATTTTTGTTGTGTAAACAAGCAAAACTTGCTACTGGGGTATTTTGCACAACATAAGAGTACAAAAGTGCCAGCATCAGACAAACTTCTGATACAGAATTATGCAGTTTAGTACTGCTGCAGAAGGCTTTTGGGAACAGCCACCTGGAAAAGGATCTGTGCAAGAGACACGGAGCTTCGATTAAAGAGACCGCGACCACAAATACTGGAGGAATATTTCTTCTTCCTCTCATTGTTCTTTGCTGTCATGCGGTTTCGTGCGTCCAGGTACAAAGCCTGTCCAAACAACTGTCCAGTCTGGGTTATTTTCAACGTGGGTAAAAGTTATGAGACTTTTCTCATAACCTCATCTGATCTATTAAATTGCATGTGAACAACTATGAACATGCAATATGTTCTTTATGGCTTTTCTCAACACATATGTTTCCTACAGTAATAAGACCAGCCTATTCAATATGGATAGTTTGAAATAACTATCCATAATAAATAATATCCATTATTATCCATAATAATTCATAAGCAGTTTTTCATACATACAGTACATTGATTCCAAGCTACCAAAGAAAATACTGATAATATGACAGAAATGTAGTTCTTTTGTTCTATCTCACTGACGCTATTTAACATTTTCAATGTTATTGCTCAGAGACAAATGATAGCCTACAATTCACTGAACATAGATTAACCTTTTGTGCAAACATAGTTACTGAGATATGAACAGTGTTGAGGGTAACGCATTACAAGTAACGCGAGTTAGCGCTTCAGAGAAATACCTTTCATTCCCATAATGTCAACGCGCTTTCTTTGATGCCACCTAGTGGTTTGAGGTGGTATCTATCTATCTATCTATCTATCTATCTTAAACTTTTTGTTTACATTTTTTTTTAATCCATAAAAACTCTATTCGTTTCACTTTTAAAATAACATAAAATACAGATTATGTTTAAACAAATTTTTCAAAAACCAAAAACGTTCTATTCATTTCTCTTGTAATTGTGAAAGATTTTGTTTACATGCAAATGACTGTTAAAAGAAATGAGCCAAATCGACTGAACGAAAATCTTCCTGGATAATAAAGCAGACTTTTATTTTGTTGGGACTTGTATTTTGAAATGTCGCGAGAACCGTCTAAGCGGAGGCATATGCAACACGCTGGCTAGCCGCAGACTTGCATCCGTTTAGAAGCTATGTCAAGGTTAACTAACAAGTGTCATTGTCTTTATTTACTTAGCTTGAGCTCCACATGGAAATGTCACCAACAAGCCTCCAGACTGTCGACAATGAGAAGTGGACTTGAAGTGAGTGAGTTGTCAACAAACGTTTAGCATGAATTGAATTGTCAGTCTGCGCCGTGGCAGGTTATGATTTTGACTCTTATTTGTTGTAAAGTTAAATGTCTTTCGTTGTTTTTTTATTATTATAGAGAACACGTCTATTATATAAGGTCTGGACAGACTGACTAGCTTTATTTCATTTAGGTGCTTATCATAAAACTTTGCCTGGTAAACAAACCGCTCTTGCAATATAGTTACATGATTCTGGACTTTTACGCTGAATTGTAGTCCAATTTTGATGACCTTAATTAGTGTAACTGTTTGTGTTTTAGTTGTCAGAATAGTTTGTCTTGATTTGAAAGTCTGTTTTGTTTGTGACTCATTTGTTTTAGTCAATATGTGGTGGCAGATTTAGGAGTATTTCTTCAGCACAGACAGTCACAAGGACCTATGGATGTGGAGGACATTCACAGGTAACGAACACAGATCTTTTGTGCCTTTCAGTAAAAGCTAGAATATTTACATAAAACATTACATTTTAGCTACACTGGAACAGGAAGGGATTAAGGAATATTGAGAGCATAGACAGGAAAAGTGAAAGCATACAAAAATTCTCTATGCTTTCACTTTTGCTATATCTTTACTCTCATTATTCCTTAATCCCTTTCTGTTCTAGCTTCTACTGTTTTGAATGATGACAGAAAGCTTGTAAGATCAATTGATATAGACCATTGCCGTTACAAAAGTAAACAAATTATAATCGGCAAGATTTTAAAAATGTGAAAATTAAAAAAAAATTGCAATAATTATTTATTTAATTTAAAATATTTTTGGCATGATTTGGAGTTGCTGTTTTCCATCTTTTCTTAAAGTTGCACACTTCCTGTCATGTAACCCATTTGTCTAAACTTGATATCCCCAGCCTTTTTGTGGAACATTGCAATTAAGTTGTTGCTCTGTAGGGTGAAAAAGGAGTCCTAAAACTTTTATAATGGTATCTTTTCTCTTCTTCTTTTATAGGAAAAGAGGTTTGTTTGAGTGTTATTGTTGTTGAGTGTTCCTGCACGACTTCTGTTAAGAGTTCACAGCAAAAAAAGCCATTTGTGCAGCAGCCTTTGTTGCAGCACCGTGCAGAGAAAATGCACTTATTTATTTATTTTTTATTTATTTTTTTTTTTAATTGGCTACTACGTCATTTAAAGTTTTTTTCTACATGCGTACTTACAGAAGTTTGCATACCTGAAATATAATTTTTTTTTTTTTTAGCTGCAACATAATTGAACACATGAAAATGTCAAATATGACGTCTTGCCTATTTGAGGGCGGAAGAACACACCGCAGAACCGGTACAGGTGTACGTCCATCTGACAGGTTCACACAGTTTACATCGCAATAAACATCATTTTAAAAAATGTCTTACCTGTATTATATATGTCTTTTAGGGTGGGGTCTTGTCTTCAGACAGAGAGAGAGAGAGAGAGAGAGAGAGAGAGAGAGAGAGAGATGCGAGTA